TGTGTAAGTGCTATGTAAGCATCTGTACAGCTGTAGAAATAGATGCAGGTGCAGATCACATTTAGCATTATTTAAACTTAGCCCTGGCATTGACTCTATATTGTAATGTTTTTTAACAGAAATCGCTTACAAACACCCAGAGAAAAGATCTGAACTTTCCCTTTTCACATGTGAAAGACAAACAGCAAAAGCACAGGTGCCTTAACTTCAGCTGCAAAATGTTTTTCGGCGTGATGTAATCTGTTAGTCAAGGCAGCAGCTCGTCTTTAATGACTTCCAGGAGGTAAGACCTCCTCGAACTCGAGCAGTGTGAACCCAAACAAACTAAACGCAAAAAATACAACAAAGTAAACTTCTCCAGTAAACTGTTTGCACCCACACAGCGTCAGGGAGAGCTACACGTACAGCTGTGGCATGGATTTAAACCAGAGTCTACACACATGCTCGCAGCTCTGTGAAGCTCATACAGTGTTACTAAGAGCTTAATGCTGAAATCAGCACGTTAACAAGCCTGCTAACCTGTTAACATGCTAGCATTTGCTGATCATTGCTAAACAGAAAGCACAGTGGAGGGGGATGGGATTGTAATGAGTTTTGCAGGTATTTAGTCACACACTTTAGTAACTGGAGAAAGTGAATGATGGTGCTAGATGAAAAGTCATGGGCTCACCAAAATCTATATAGTTCATCATTTAGGAACCATGTATGTGTGTACCAAATGTTATCAATCCCTTGAGTATGTTGAGATGTTTCACTGTATGAATGAAAACATCGGCCTGCTGTTTTCACTAGATAAAAAGTGCTGCCCACCTCCCAGACAGCTTGTTCTAAACAAGTCATAAAAATAGTGCGTGTAGCTCAGTAATGAAGATGAAGCTTAGTCTTTCATCTCTGCATGGTGCTGATTCTGTCTGTTTCACATTGGCCTGGACCCACTCTGTGTTCAGCAGACACCACCTGTCTCAACACAGTTGGTACAGGGTGATGGGTGTGGATACATGTGGACAGACACATGCTGAAGTTAGTGCACTATTTAATACAATGTCCTTTACACTGCTTGGAGACCAAATAAAGCTTTTGTGCAGCATGGTTTGGAAATATACTGAATACTTAAATAGACTGTCAATTGTTACTTTAAAAAAGTTTCTAACTAAACTAAACTGAAAAAGAATTTTTTGCCAGCAAAAGATATTAGCGCACCACTGTTAACCCAGCTGTCTGTTTCACCCTGTTGTTTTGCTAATTTTCTTGTAATATAGCTGTAAAAGAATCAGTGCTCGCTTAGTGACAAAGTTTATCAAGGAGACTGAAAGAAGTAAGGATATTATTGTAGAGAGGTTATTGTATTCCCTTTTGAATGTCTTCTTGATCTTCCTTTTGTAAATGATGTCCCATTTAGAGTAAAATAGGCAATAATGCAGGATATGCTTTAGGGCGTGGCACCCTTGTGATTGACAGGTCATTCTCAAACAAGTCAGTCAGATCAAGCTGTAAAACTAGGCAGTGCTGAGCAAATATGAATCAAGATTCTGTTCTGTTCTGCACTGCCTGCTTATTTCTCACCTACAATGTTTTCAGAACATATTTTAGTGTACTGTTTAGCTGTAATAGAGTTTTTGATCAGGCCGCCATTTTTTTCTGCCTGAACGTCACCCACCAGCTCCATGTTAGCTATTGGTTTATGGACAACCAT